TTTTTCACCTTCATTTACCAAGTAAACCACCTGAATATATGCAAACAAAACAAGATCATAAGAAGCAAAGTGAAAGAAGGTAAGAGAAAGTGACTGTTCTCAAGGCTAGATTGACAAACCTCACACAGAGAAAAGAGTTTCTGATTCTTGAAGCAACAAAGGCCAATATCTGATGAGCTGAAAACGTCGCCTAAGCCTGTGTTCTTTTCCTCCATTAAACCTGTAAAATGCCCTGAAATCACCTTCAATTCCTTCCCCACAACGCCTTCAACTCTCAAGTAATCTCTCAGAAACCTCTCCACCATCACTCTAGGCATTTCACTCACTCCTATCTTTCTTCCACTGTACTTCATCACCATATCAAACCCTTCATTTCCAATATCTTCTAGGAAAAACTTTGGCAAAACAGTGCTTCCGATTCTGAAAGTCTCCTCTTTCAATCCCACAAAGGAAACAAAAACCATGATCTTCATCCCAATTTTCCTCCCGACCAAACACAAAAGAGGGTAAAGAAGGAGAAGAACGAAAGCTCTCAAGGGTCCTCCAGCTTCAAAGGCTACTAGCATGAAGTAAGGAAAGACAGAACATGATTTCAACAACACCCCCTCCATATGAAACACCGAACTTTTGTTTGGATTCAGATCTTGTTCTGCTAGCGACATGTTGAATTCTGGTTTTGATGCATTGGAGATGCAGGGTTTTTTCTGGTAGCACGACTTGTTCCATGTTTTTGATAGGAAGATCTTAAACAAGAATAGGAAAGGTTCCAAGTTGAATGGTTTTCCAGCCATGTTTTTTGGAATAGATATAATTTCTCAAAAAACTCATTGGTCATTTTAATACAGGAACAGTAAGTGACACTTGGGCTAACGTGGTGCTCATTTTCTTGCAACAGGTTCAAACAAATCCAAAGTGTCCCACGAAGATTCCATGACTTATTCGGCAAAAGCACACAGATTGCCCTTCAACTTTTTAAGTGTGTAAAAGTTTATCCCTCATTTTATTATATGTGATTTTATACCCTCTTGGTATTCAAGTTTATGATTTTATATCCTTATAGTAGTCGAGCATGTAGAATGTTATCTCTAACCTTACAACTTTTGAGGGCTGCACGTGACCCCATAACATTAAAAATTGCCTCATTATCATAAACTTGAATACCAAAAGGATATAAAATCACATATTATAAAGTGAGGGGGTGATGAGTTAAATTTCACTCTAGCAAGTGTACTAGTCACTTCAAATAATATAATGATGAAAGTAGAGTATCGTCCCATAAAAATTGTAGATTAATTAAGTATCAAAATTAACCAATTCTAATTTTATTTGAACAATTTTTGTTTCTTCTCCGATAGTTTTCCTAAAGGTTTTTCTCTGAGCTCTGGAGTATTTGTTTGATGTAGGATAATTTGGCTATGTATCTTGAGTTCCCCGGATTGTACTCTGTTCTGGGAGTATTTCTTATGCTCCTTTGCCAATATATTTCGTATGTTGCTTTGCTGATCAAAAAAAAAAAAAATTTTATTTGAACAATTGAAATTAAATGATTTAAATAAATTAAATAACTAAACTAATTAAAGAAAAACTAAATTGAATTTAAGTAACACCAAGAGTTAAAATTCTAAGGCATCCAGTTTCATCATAATAAACTAATATAGAATTTAAATTAATATACTTCTAAAGTATTTATTATTTATGTGACAACGAGATTTCCTATCCTATTTGATATACTCTCTCAAGTTATACCAAACATATCTTCACTTATTAATCTACTATATCTTTATGTGAATTTAAATATATAAAGATGCATTATGTTCTGTGAAATTCCCTAGTTTATGTAGAAAATTAAGTCCACTTATCACTAGTGTTGCACGAATCACGTTGGTCCATTTTTGGTTCTCGTGTAATTCATGGTATATATTACTAGAAATTATTGCATAAAATATCCTTTCGGTCTCAATTATGCTCTCCAAATCAGTTTTAATGATGACCAATCATTAAAAAGCATTAAGAACAATAATATATACTATATATAAAATAATAAACCTTGAAAGTATAAAAATCATAAAACTCTATATTAAATTGATTAGACTATATCTAGCCTTAGATAACAAAATCAGTTCATAATTAAAAAAAAAAAAAAAAGAATCAACAATCCCGTGATGAATAAATGAGTATCCAACATCATAAAATAAAACTCAAGTACAAGCAAAATCTGTTTGATGATATAAAATTTCAAGTTTTGATCTCCTTTGGTTGTTGAATTTCTCTTAGCCATCCTTCTTGGTTTTCTCCAAAAGCCCTCAAACTGATTTTTGAATAGGTATTTATTGAGTTTAAGAAACCCTATTAGAAAAGAAGTAGGACTTGGAATAGAATAGGAAACTTGAATTTTGGACATGGAACACATAGTGCCGACACCCCGAATTACGTGTCGATGCATAACAGGAAACAGAAACTCTCTGATAGCTTGAAACATAGTGTCGATACCCT